CTGATTTTTGCAAAAATAAACTAAACCCTGATTTTTAAAAACGTCAAACTAAACCCCTGATTTTATATAATTTTCCCCCACAAGAAACCCTATATTCATATAACTGTGGTGAGGAGTATAAAGGAAAGTTACTTGGCACTTTTGAGGGGCGCTACACATTGAGAGAAAGATAATACAATGAGAGATTGAAGAACATTGAGAGAAAGATCCAAGGGAGAAAAAAAAATCAAAAAATTCAAGTTTTTAAAACATAGATTGGAATATGAAGAACATCTTGGTGCAAGATTGATTTCTTTTTCTACATTTACATTAAAATCCGGCGATGTATTTAATAAAAACTTCTTATTTTTCTTCTTCCATTATTATGAGTAACTAAATTTGATATTATGGAGAACAATGTAATCTACTTGAGACCATTTATGTCTTTTATTCAAGATTCTTGTTATTTTACCATACACGTATTGATTTTGCTATGAATTTAATGCGTTAAATTACTTGATCATTAATTGATGATTTTATGAATCTTTTACGAATCGAAAGGTGGGTTTGAGATTTAGACCATATAGTAATATTCGGTATATTAGTATAACGTGTAAAACTACCTATACTAAATATTGCAATCATCATATGAATTCTTAGAACCAATATTTCGTTTAACTAAAGTAGATTTACATGGAGATATGAGATTGAATTAGTTAGATAGACTTAATTAGAACTCGAGAAGGGTAAATTGAATGTCATAGAAGAATTCGATCGAACACTACACTAGACTTTGAAATCTTGAAATAAGACTTAAAGGTGATCAATAGGTAAAATTGTTCGTCCCTAATTTTCATCAATTATTTGAATTCTCAATCAATTTTTGTGTGCATTGTAATTAATTTCAATTGTTTAAATCAAAAATTCACAACACATAATTTTTTGTTTACTTTTATCTAATAGGTGTTAGAATAATCCAATTAAATTCTAAAGTATAATTCTCATGGGTACGATAATTAGGACTAGAAGGTTCACTGTATAACTTGTTACGATATCGTATACTTGCGATAGAAAAAACACAACATCGAGCATTTTAGAAGTTGAAATAACTAGCAATCATACGGATATTGGACTTAAACTGTGCTGCTAGGTTTAAAATTAGAAGCATTGAAGAGCTACAATTAGCGCATGGGTGGAAGAATGATATTGATACTAATCATTACTGTGTGACTATAGAAGGATTAACTAATAAGTTAAGAAAATTTTGAATATTGACAACACCGAAAGCCATATAGCAATAATTTTTTCACACTGTGTACCAAATGCACCCTCTAAGTATGATACAATATAAACAAAGACGATGCAATAGTGTCAAAAATTGCCTTACAAAAGTAAAAAAGACAAACTAAATACTCCAATTACGGTCTCTTTTTTCTTCCCAACCGGAGCGCACTTTCTCCTATTACCTTTTCACTTTCACCTCTTCAAAGGATTCTTTGTCAATGATTATATACGACTAATTACATTAACACGCACAGCGAGAAGAAGAGGAAGAACAGAAAATCCCATTACTAGTTCTTCTCCAGTACTAACTCTATCCTTTCAAAATGTTCATATTCTTGAATCTGTAAATCCATTATCAATAGAAACCTGAAGGAAATAGACTAAAAGAAGTACAT